CTTCATCTGAATCAGGAGCCGGAGATTTGCTGCTGAGATTTTGGGGCTGGGAGAGAGGATGGGGTGGGTGAGGGGATACAGGAGTGGGTTGGGGAAGAAACACACCAAAAAAACTTAACATTTGAAAGGAAAGGAAAAAAAAAATATGGAGAAGAAAGCCTGCCTGGGGGAGGCAGAGCCGTGCAGCGCCTGCGGTCGCTGCCCACGCATGGCGTGGGGCCCGCCAGCGCCACGGGGGTGCCCAACAGTTAAGTGCTCAGGACCCATCCTTCCCTGCCGTCCTGTAGGGAGCAGGCAGCGGGCAGCCGGGCAGGGGACAAGGGGCCGCACAGCAGCCTTCAGTACACACACACTGTGCAATACCACAGCAACGACGTCCGTCCGTCTGTTCGCCTCACGGCAAGGCCGGAACGACACACCCGCACACAGGTCCCACACAAAAAAGGGGAAATTCGGGACGAGGTTGGAGGGGACACGCATCTCCTAGTAAACCACATTGGTGGGGCACCACGGCGTGTCAGGGTACAGCAGGCAGTGCACGGAGCGAAACCTGCAGAGGAGAGGAGCGATGCTGAGCACGGGGCGGTGGCAGCCCTGTGGCACCCCAGCTCGGGGGGGAGGGGGTGGTCCAGGGTCCCCCCATCTCACCTGGATGGGTCCTCCTCAACGGAGAAGGCTCCCTTCATGTGGATGGAGTTGCGCTTGTTTTCAAACATGCCGTAGCTTAGTGTCACCTGAGGGGGAAGCACAAGGAGGGTCAAGCGGCTGATACAGCCACGAGGATCAAGCATGGGGGGGCTACAAAATTCACCCCATTTCCCAAAGCCTCCAGTCACTCCAGAGGGGTGGGCTGATGGGGCTTTCCCTCTCCACTGATGTTTTGGTCACACGTCAATCAAGATCTTAGCCGTAATGCCCAATTTTCAGGTGACAACACGAAACCTGATGGCGGTATTGTCCACCCCAACCCCTCCATCCAGGGTATCAGGACAGGGATACCTGCTTGTGGATCTCCGTCTTCGGCACCTGGTGGAGGTTCTCCAGGTGCGAGTGGAAGAGGTTGCTCCGGATGAGCTTCACCCCCAGCACGGACTCAATGATGTAGCCGATGGTGCAGTCGTCGGGCAGGCGGATCTTCTCCGCTGTGCTCATGAAATGGCCCCCGCTGTGGGGAGAGAGAGAGAGGAGCTGCAGAGGAGCAAAGCCTGGGGGGATGTGGGCACCCCATGGGGTCTGGGCTTGGCCAGTGGGTGCCCAGCTCTAGCTCTAAAGTCAGCTAGACTTGGGGGACCTGAGGTCCTTCCCAGCTTGTTTCCAAGCCCCCCTGCAGACACCCTCAGCAAGGCAAAGAGAGCAAGGCAGTAGGACATGGTCCAACGTCCATCCCCAAAGATGTTGTCGCTGCTCTGTGCCCTGCTGGGACCACGCCGAGTCCCCATGGCAGAGCAATGCCAATGCTCTTACCTGGCCCACGGGCTCATCTTCAGCGCCAGCCCCCGGCTGATACAAAACCCCGCTCCGCCCGTGGCGAACCAGAAATGCACAGGGTGCTGCGAGAGAGGGGAAGCAACAGCAGTGAGACCTCCTCCCACCGACCGCGGAGCAAACCCCAGCCCAAATTAAGCCAGCCCAACCCTCTCGCACCCCCCCTCACCATCTTGTTCTCGCTGATTCTCTCCGTAGCCTGGATGGGCCGGTCCAGGCTGGGCTTCCCGATGTAGATGTCCTGCGTGTGGGGGTAGCTGGAGAGCAGCTTCACCAGCGTCCGCACGTTCACGTAGTTGTCATCATCCACGTGGCAGAACCACCTGTGATGGCAGCAGTGTCACACCAGGCCAGGGCAATTCCCCAGACCCCATGCTCAGATACGGCCCCAAAAAGGCGAACGGCCTCCGCCTGCGCCGTCCCCCCTGGCAGCCCCAGGCGTTGCTTACTTTCTGCCGGACTCGATGAACTTGTCATACTCCACAGCCATCTTGCAGGACAGGGCCTGGCGGCTGTGGGCGGCCGAGCAGTTGGTGTTGATGACGTTTCCTGTAGGAAGAGATGGGGGTCAAAGCCCAGCGCCGGGGTATCCCTCACCTCCCCGCTTGCTCAAACAGCGATGCTTCAGCACGCACATTCCAGGGGCGCCAGGGCGATGGACACCCCAAGGCTGTCCCTGATGTTCAGTGGCCTCCACACCACATATTTTGGGAATGGCTTTTGGATCCACATGAGCCAAGGGAAGGGATGAGCAAGGGGTGTGGATGCAGCAGACGCACCAGGGCTGAGCCATATCCCATGTGCTATGCATGATGCCACCCTATATCACCTTGCCCATCCCGGGGCCATGTACCAGCCTCCCCAGGAGCGAGGGGGTGTCCGTGAGCCCGCTTCTCCACCCGGGACATGATAGCCAAAATCCTGCCCTATTCCCGCTGCCTTTGCCCACAGCTGCCACCTGCTATTTGCTTGCCCAGCTCAAAGGCAATCGCTTCCCGGCCTGAAAAGGAGTCATTTGCATGGAGAGAATAGACCGAGCTGACCGGCCCCAGGGAGCGGCTGCCAGGGAAATGCTCCCAGGAAACCCTGGCCGCGGTGCCCATCCATCCCAGCTCACCCCAGGGACAAACTGGTGCAAAGGCACCCTACCCCGTTTGCGTGCTCCCCAGCGGCATCATGCAGGAGATGGGCTGGGCTGGCTGGGAAGGAAACTTGTCCCCACGTGGGGCTCCTGGGCAGAGGGTGCTTCAGGCACCATCAGTGAAACAAGTTGCCCTGTTCTCAGCCCAGGTTCCTATAGTGAGGGCCCCTGAGATTAGTGTTTAACCACTGGCATTTTGATCATTTTTTCAGAGTTCCCGGGGCAGGCTCCAGGCTAGCCGTGCTCCCTGGGCAGGGGCTCCTCAGAGACCCTGGCCAGGTCATGCATGCAAAGGGACAAGGGCTGCAGACTCACGTGCTTGCTTCTTCAGCTCCTCATCCTCCCCATCCGTGAAGATGAATGTCTGAAAGAGAAGATGAGGCACCTTTGAGGACTGAAGAGTCGAGGCCACACAGCTCTGGTCACCACCTGGCACAGCTGGGCAGCACTGGGGATTGGTCCTGCTGGGGTGCTGGTGGTGACTTCCTCCTCCTCGCTAAAACCAGCGGCACCAGAGCCAGGCAAACCCATGACACGCTCAGCCTCTTACCAAGAAAGGTGCCAAGCCGTCCTGGCAGGACACGGCACACGATGCCGTGCCTCACTGGGGTGCAAACCCCAGCCCCCTTCCTGCGCCTGTGCTGACCATCCCCATCCCCATCCTCTCGCTTTTTCCACGGGGCAGCAGCAGGCAGGAGGATTTGGGGCAATGCGAGGGTTGTCCCCAGCACAAGGTGGGTGCGCAGAGAGGAGCAGGTGATGGGGAGCGGGTCCACAGCTTGATCTGAGCAGGGACTTCAGACTTTAGCCGGCACGGCTGGCACGTGCGGCCAAGGACGCCAAAGCAGCCGCCCGGCAGCTCTCCCTGCCCAGGCAGGTGTGTTTGCCCACTGCGCCAGCTGCCAACCACATCACCACCTGTGTCACACGCATGTGGCCGT